CTACACATAAGCTTCCATTCTACATTTCAGTATCATAAGCTTCTCCCTAGAGTATCTTCCTCAGTAGATTATCGTGGCAATGCAGGTTAGTTTAACAAGCAGGGTTATTGTGTTCATTTTTAAGTACCCCAAATGCGGACTTGTTCAAGCGACCAGTTCAGATGTGATGATGGCAGATGTATCCCAGCAACGTGGATCTGCGATGGTGATAATGACTGTGGAGATATGAGTGATGAGGATCAAAGACACAATTGTGGTAGGTGTCTAATCCAAATAGATACTTAAACTTCTCTGTTTGACCTGGCAGGCATTTTCTCTAAAATCTCTGACAAATTTTCTGTCCATGAAGGTGCACATTAAGCAGGAGATGCACTCTTTCTGTACCTTCAGCTTCGTTATATTGAACTAAAATTTTACATTTTACTGGTTTAAAAAAAAATTATTCTCCTTTTGTGGGTACTCATCTTTGAATTGATGAGTTGGAATGGAGATGTGAATAACCTTATTTGCTTGTATAATCTGGGCAACAAAAGCACCTTCGGCAGCCTGAAGTTCCCTGATCATCACACGCTACATTTTGTGCATCTTAATATCCATATGGTTTTGACATATCTTTATGTATTAGTGAGCAAAAAGAGCATGGCTTTTCAGAGGGTGAACAAAGGAAAGAAGGTCCAGCAAGCCTGATCTTGCTCCTTGATTCTTTTAGCGGTGTTGGATACGCTTGAAGTCCTTGTCCTATTTCAGATCAGTGGCGCTCCCTCTGTTTGCTCCCTGGACCACAAAGTACTTCAAGAAAGTGGTTGCTGGACAACCTAGGGCTAATTTCCATTCAGCTGCCAGAAAATCTGGCCTTTCACATGGAAAGCTTATACTCAGAATACAACAAGATCCAGCACTCTGCATGCCCCAGCATTACCTAAGGAATCCTGAAGTGTTTTGGCTCACAGACGACCTCTGTGAAGAGCAATACCTGGTTGCTCATTAGTGGGAATGAGTAAGACTCTCATATATGAGAGAGTACAGTGGTATTTATTTCTGCATGTGGAGCAGAGCATATATATGATATCAGTGCTGGGCGGCAGGGGGTGGGGAGAGGTGTTATATACATGGAGTATAACTTACTGACTCAGCGAACATGCATTGTTTCAGCAAACCGCAACTGCACAGCAGTGGAGTTCATGTGTGCCAATAATCAGCCCCCGCTCAGGAGGTGTATTCCTCAGGCATGGGTCTGTGATGGCGATGCTGACTGCAGTGATGCTTTTGATGAACACCAGAACTGCACACGAAGATCTTGTACAGAAAATGAGTTCACTTGTAATAATGGCTTATGTATCCGAAACACATACAGGTTTGTAAATACTTAAGCTGCTGCAGAAAATCCTCAAAATTTGCTTGAAGTGAAGGAACTAATTCGACTTAGTTTTTTTGTACTAGTTAAATAGGTTTGCGTATGGTCATTAAATTACCTGTCTGCTCTACATTCCTGTGTTAAAATTGAAAATGGTCTGGGATTTGGGTGTTAATATCCCCTGTGCTCATCATTGCTTTTAAAACTTTTTTCTGGACCCAGTACCATCTCTTGAGGTGATTATGATCAGTTTTTCTGATTGATTGTGCAAATACATTAGGTTTCTTTTCAGTAATGGATAAAGGCATAGGAGCAGGATTCACAAGATCAGACTGTGCATAATATGGGCCTGATTTTTGAAAGTCTGTCCTATTGGAGCCAATAATATCTGCGCTTCTTTGGAAATCGGGAGAGTGAATATATCTATCTGCCCTATATATAGTCACTATCCTCTTAAAATTGAACAAAGTATTCATTCTTCTTCAGATGTGACAGACGGAATGACTGTGGTGACAGCAGTGATGAAAGGGGGTGCATCTATGAAGCATGTCAACAGCACCAGTTTACCTGTCAGAATGGGCGCTGCATTTCCAAGGCTTACATCTGTGACGGGGATAATGACTGTGGTGATGAATCTGATGAGCTGGAACATCTCTGTAGTACACCAGAAGCAACTTGTTCTCCCCATCATTTTAAATGTGACAATGGAAACTGCATTGAAACGGTTAAAGTCTGCAATCGGTTGGATGATTGCTTAGACAATAGCGATGAAAAAGGATGTGGTATGTGTAGATTTATTTGGATTGTCTTATTCCATTTAAAATGCTTAAGCAACTTTTTAAAAATGAGCTCCTAAGACAATTGCTTAATTACAATGCTTCATATTCTATCCAAGGTGTCTCTAGGATTATGAGAAATGTATATATCTAATATTTCATTTTTATTAAATCATATTAATTATATACTATTTTAACAAGCTGTGAAAACTGATTAATTATATAAAATGTAAATATAGTTTGTACGTTGTTATATATTGCCCTTACATTTACAAAATGTACCATTCATAAGTGTATCTTTTGCATTCCGTGAGCTAGGTGTTAGACCGCAAAGGAGCTGGAATAATTTATGTTGGTTGACATTCTTTTCCGTGCTCCTCTGTTACATCCAGCCCAGATAGAGGGAGAGAGAATACACTGGATAGTCACTGCACTATTTTCTCCGTAAGCTAGTTCCTTAAACAGAATTCCTTTTTCTTCCTCAGGTGTAAATGAATGCAGTGACCCTTCAATCAGTGGGTGTGATCATGACTGCACCGACACCCAGACAAGTTTCTACTGTTCTTGCCATCCTGGATACAAACTTATGTCTGATAAACGGACTTGTGATGATATAGATGAGTGCAATGAAACTCCATCAGTATGTAGCCAGATTTGTGAGAACACAGCTGGCTCCTACATCTGTAAGTGTGCCCCAGGCTATATCCGGGAGCCTGATGGAAAAAGTTGCCGACAAAATAGTAATATCTCCCCATACCTTATTTTTAGCAACCGTTACTATCTGAGAAATCTCACAGCAGATGGCCAGTCTTACTCTCTCATTTTGCAAGGACTGAGAAATGTTGTGGCACTGGACTTTGACAGGGTGGAAAAAAGGTTGTACTGGATTGATGTGGGGAGGAAGGTCATTGAACGAATGTTCCTAAATGGAACAAATAAGGAGGCTGTAATAAGTGATGATGTGCCCAGCGGGGAAGGTATCGCTGTTGACTGGGTTGGCAGGTAAGAAAATACATTTTCTGTCCTTCTGGTCTACTAAGGAAATGATGTGTGAGGGAATTTATCTTTAAGTCTTTCTCCCCCTTCATATGAGCTCCTGAAGAGGACTAGAATAGCTTTGGCTTGTGAATATAGTAGTATAGAACTATTCTGGAAAAGTTTAGTATCTTCTAATATGTTATGTACAACTTTGGGTTATAATGCTCTCATATCTTTTGGTACTGAGCTTATATGTGAGTTACTGTCTCACTAATGATAATGTTGCGCATATAACTCCTGGGAGAAACTTGTTAGGAAACTGTCATTGAACGGGACTAGCCAAGCAGGCTGGTGAGAGGATTACGTGTGGTGATGGGGTAGGGATTCTGAACTTAGTCTCTTTCTTCTTGTGCTAGCACTAGCTGGAGTTGGGGTTTAGGCCTCGCTCTGTACATAAATGATATGCTACACCGTGTAACTAGAGTCTATGAAGCTAGTAATAATTATGGAATTTAGCTTCTGTACCAATGTGAAGAGCATCCTCCTTTTACTCATGAAAAAAGTATCTTTAACTGCTGTAAGCTTACTTGCTGTAAGGAGGGCAGTATGCGTCTTAGGCAATTGGAAAGCACTTTGCACTGTGGTCATTTTTTAATTGCCTGCTGTGTGTCGTAAGGTAGTTTGATTTATTCCCACAGAGATTCTGTCCTTATGTAGTGCCTTCTCTGAGAGTGTTTTTGGTGGCAGTTTGTAAGGTTTTACTTTTTTTAGAGTGTGTTGCTATCAACATGAAAAGTTCAAATATGATGAATCAGACTCTCCAAATAATGAGACTGACTCAGAAAGTCACATTTCGACTGTATATGAGAGTATTTATGTATGAATATGTGAATATAGTTGTTTTTATTTACAGTTGTTTTTTATGTTATAGTTGTTTTTACTTTTGAACCCCTTTGTCTCTAAAGCTAATGATAGTTAATGTTCCTAGCATTCCCAAATGCTTTGCCATTCACGGAGGTGTGAGAAAGAAAAAGGTATTTTTAGCCCAAGTGCTCCTACTGCTCCACTGTTAATACAGTTGTGGAATTAATTCAGCTCCCATCAGTTATGTCTTCAATCAGGTTTTGTTGAGGTGTTTCAGAGAGGCTGATGGAAGATACAGGATCCGCAGATGAGTTGTTCCAGTCACTTTCAGTACGGGGCAGGGGAGGATCTGGAGGCTGCCGGGAGCTGCAGGTTGGGGGAGGTGACCTTCCCACTCCTCCCTGGTGGGAAGGGCACTGGTCAGGGCAGTGTAGGCAGAGGCTGTATCTTTTGGGGGATTTTTGCATGTTTTTGATTACAGCTGTGGATAATTCTAGGCAAAGTAATGGGAATGTTAGAAAATTCTAGGTGAAGTTTAAATTAGGCTACCAAATTTCAATGGTTAGCAACTTTTGAAGGAGAACCTGGCAACTGTTTCACCTCTTTGATCTGATGAGAGAAGACAGCATGGAAGAGATGGTGATTATCTCCAATGCTTTGCAGTCCTGGTCACGATCCGTTGCTCTGCAGGTCTGCTTTCCTCTTCCTCTTTGCTGGCCGCTGCTGGTGGAGGAGGGAAGGGAAGAAAAGGAGGCTCAGTAATTTATGGGCAAATGGTACATTGCTCCTCAGCTGGGCAACTGCAAGTTTGAATCTGGCACCAGTGACTGTGGACGCAGGTACAGCAGGAGTAAAAAGGGCAAACTGGAGCGTGGTCTAGAAGACATGTCAGTACAGTATGAGTGTTCTTTATAGTGGATATTTTGCTTCTAGGAAAAAAAAAGCTCTGAAGTAAAATAAGCCAAACAAATAGGAGTATATAAATTAACTCTAAAACATTTCAGAAAACTCTACTGGGTGGATGCCTACAAAGATTGTCTCTACGTTGCTGAACTTGATGGAAGATTCCGGAAAAAGCTGGTAGATCGGTGTATGGATGTCAACAACACTTTCTGCTTTCAGTACCCCAGAGCAATTGTTGTCCATCCAAAATACGGGTATGACATGTCAAGAGCACTTTTTCTTCCTTTAGTGAATAGTCTTCTGCTGACTCTGAAAATCTGAAGAAAGTTTTGGCGGTCTGCACTTAGATTTGTGTGGCGTTAGACCTTAGCTGTACCTTAGGAAAAACAGCAGCTTTTTTTTCATAGACATATATGCAGGACTGTCAGATACCATTGAAAGTGGAATTTGGTCACATGTGGACAAGGAGATTTTGATAGAAAAGTTAAAAAGTTTGATAGAAATATGTGTAGTTTGCTAGACAAGGCATCTGCCAGTTACATTCTTTGAAGGTGATTTTAATTACACACGACTACTTGTCTGCTGTAGTAGTTACAGTAACGTACAAATATATTGACCTTAATATATTGACCTTCTTCTCATCTTCCTGAGTCTCTGATTTAGTTTTATTGCAGGAAATAGTGTATTCAAGGTGTATCTTCTCATATTTATTTAAGCATATTTTTAGTACAATCCTAACTGTAAACATTCATTTGAACAGACAGATTTACTGGACAGACTGGGCAGATCGAGCCTATTTAGAATGGCCCAATGGACTCACCATAGATTACACCAACGACAAGCTCTACTGGGCAGATGCCCATCTAAATTACATTGAGTACGTACGCAGAGAAGAATAAAGAAACTGAATAATTGCTCATATCAGATTTCAGTGGTAGCGTTTATAGATGCTGTAAGCACCATCGTTACTTCTCTCCACTGACTTCTAGGAAACCAGAGTTATAGATGATGTGAATCACTAGATGTCACAGTAGCATAATGCCTATATACATCTTAGACCCCACTGGAAACGGTTTGCATTTTTTTTGAGAAATGGAAGTAAAAAGATTCACAGCCCATGCTGCAATATGCCACTTCAGCTGTGCTGAGGTGCACAGCCTGAACCAAGGTGGAATCGAGTGTGAAAGCACTGTTTTTTCTAATTCTCTTTTTTTGCCTATAGATAGGAGTTTGGTTGTAACTAATCATATGTGCTAATAAGGTGTTATACAAAGGATCTGAAAATTTGTCCTTAATGAGCATTCACAGCTATGTTGGTAGTTATACATTGAATTTCATGTTAACATATAGCTTTTCTCTGATAATTGAAAAAAATCCATAAATTGCCTTTTTGTGCTGGAAGAGTCACACTGAAATATCAGTACAGATGAATAATTAGCATTATGTTTCTTGTCAAGATGCTGAAACACTTTTTAGAAAAAAACCTTTGTTTTTATATTCATTCTTCTGGCAGCCTTTTCTACACTGAAATCTTAAAGTGCCCTATTTAAAATAGATATTAATTAAATGTAAATCTCTCTACCTCCCTTTCTGCCTGTCTTATATTTCATAATTTCCCCCTATAGCAAGGTTATAATAAAAGTATAAAATACTATTAAAAATACCAGATCAGAGGAGGCACTAAATCAGAAAGACATGTAAAATCTAGGACTATAGGAGGCATATGGTCTTAAGTGTTGTTATTATTAGCAGTCTGAATCATCTGAGCAAGCCGTTCTCCCATATGACAAAAACGAACAAACAATCAATTTGTTGTAAGACAACAAATACGCAAAACTTCATTAGGCTAGCTGAAATACGTCTGTGGAGGACTCTACCTTTCAGTGGATGTTTCTCTGTTCCATTTTTTCTGCCTAATATAACCTATTTTACTTTTCTGCATGTCTCTAAATGAATTCACTGTGGACGGTACTCCATCATGGGACTAAAGAAACTGCAAATCCAACAATTAACTGAGCATTGGTCCTGGTCACCAGTAATGAAGTACTGTAAGCATATGTAGTAAAGATGAGAAGATTTTTCTAGCTTTTACTGAGTGTTTTACACATATTTCTCTTTGCGTAGGTACTCTGACCTGGATGGACATCATCGTCACACAGTATACGATGGGACTTTACCTCATCCATTTGCAATTACAATTTTTGAAGACACGATATATTGGACTGACTGGAACACAAGAACTGTCGAAAAGGGAAATAAATATGATGGGTCAGGCAGGAGTGTTCTTGTGAATACCACACACAGGCCATTTGACATCCATGTCTACCATCCATACAGACAGCCATTTGGTGAGAAAACAGAATTAGATTTGCATTTAGAGGGCCAAATTTTTTCTGGAGACTAATTGTAAAGGGTGCTGATTGCACGGTGCTTTTGCCTTTGCTGAGAGGAATAAAAGGCACAGAATAAATGTACGCCCTTGCTTTACATATGTAAATGATCTTTTCTTAGATTAGCTGATGAAGTAGAATCAGATTGGAAATGCATAGCTTCAAACCAGTTTCTAAAACATCACAACTCAACAGTAGACGTTTCCTATATATGGGATCATATATATTTGTCTGAGTGCCTAATTATCTAGATTTTGTTTTTCAAGTGATAACATCTAAATGTCAGTAGTCTCAGTACAGTATTAGAGGAGACTATTGTAGATTGAGACGTTTGTGTCCTGGGGTTTGCAAAGTATAGTAATATTTATTCTTCTGTTTTACCAGTTAATAATCCTTGTGGCACCAACAATGGTGGTTGTTCCCATCTTTGTCTAATAAAAGCTGGTGGTCAGGGTTATTCCTGTGAATGTCCTGATAACTTCATGATAGTGCAGTTCGGTGATACAGCCCACTGCCTTCCAATGTGCTCTAGCACCCAGTTTCTCTGTGCAGACACTGAAAGGTAAGCCCACTCCTCACCATCTTTTTTCAATATCTTTTAAATTATTTTACAGTTTAGGCTTTTCAAAAGGATATGATAGCTAGGGTTTCCTCCTGCTGTCATGTGATTCTGTGGTGTGCTAGCAAAGACAAAACCAGGACCAGACAGGCTTCAATTTTGGCAAAATATTTCTAGACTGCTTGTTTAATTGGAATGTTTTTCCTTTTTTTCTTGTTGTACGACATTGCTAACGTAATGAAGTTTGGGAGGTTAGTGACATGTAGCTCCACAAACCATTTTTTTGTGAATTCACAAAACTGGAACTTTCTCTTACTTTTTGTACACTTTTTGCAGCATACCCGTTTCTGTCTTTAACTGTGAAATGTATGTTGTCTCCCAGAAAAGCCATTTAGCTAACGTAGGGGCACATTTCTGACCCTGTTCTTTGAGACGACTGTGGTGGGGGGAGAGGAATCGTAGCATAAGAGCTTCTACGCTGACACTGGATCACTTTGAGACATGTGAGGCAGATGGGCTTATTCGATGGCCTTTTGAAGCAGTGTCGCAGTGGTCATCCCTAGTAAAATTGTCATGCTAAAGTTCAGGGGAATTATGGTAATGTTAGACACTGTAGAGACTCTTCCTCATTAAAGAAAACATTGTTTTATCTTTGCAGATGTATTCCTATCTGGTGGAAATGTGATGGACAGAGGGATTGTCGAGATGGCTCTGATGAGCCCCCTACCTGTCCACAGCGATACTGTCCTGTTGGTCAGTTCCAGTGTAATGATGGGAACTGCACAAGTCCACATTTCTTGTGCAATACCCTGCCAGATTGCCATGACAGATCAGATGAAGATCCTGTACTTTGTGGTATGTTACCAGTAATAATTCTAAGCATATTTTGTCTGTACAAAACCTGTAAATACTATATAAACTTTAGAATCATTAACCCCCTTTTAAAAATGAAATGATGAGTTAGATACAAGGCCTAATTTTCTGTTGTATTGCACCTGTTAGTGATTTACCTCAGTGCAAAAGCAGAGTAAAAGAGAGGGAAAATGCTACTGAACGTGGTTATAAACGTTTTCAATACCTTTGAGTCAGATTTGCGCTGGTGTAAATTACAATCTTAAGTATAAAACAGCAGAAATAGGACCAGCTTTGTTATTTAGAGTAAAGCCATGGTGAATATGAGGAACCTAAAGCTTCCTAATGCCCAGGTGAGTCCATTAGACTTGTTAGTTTTCCCCATATTCAAGAGCTTTGCATGATGGGACAGAGTTATTTGACACTCTGCATTGCACAAAATCCAAACCATGTAGGAAGGTTGTTTTGGAGAACTGTAGGTCATGGCAGCTTTTTAGAAATATAGTCTAATTATGCTTGTGAAATGGTGTGCTATTTTCTTAAAAACCTGTCTTTTTTTCACATAGCTATATCTAATTTAAAAACAACAGCCTTATTCCTCTTCTTGTAAATAATGTACTTCTGGCAATTGCAAGCCTAGTAATATGCAGGAAAAAATAAAGCAGTGTGGTCATATAATTGATAGTTTCATTGCCTTCCAGTAGCAAAGTGTTTCTGACAATGTCATAATTAAATGAAATGTCAATTTTACCTGAGTTTCAAATAGCTGAGCACAGCTAAGTGTCGCACAGGGGAATATTAAATAAGTAGAAATGGGGCAGCTGCATAAAACGTCAGTGATTTTAATGCACCCAGTAGACTAAAAACCAGTTCAGGTCTATATCGTTCCTTCTGCTCGTCATTTCGTGCATGGAAAAGAATCCCCTGATCTAGAAAATGTGTGGAAATTGTATCATATTGTCTCCTCTTGAGCAGTTTGGCAGTGTATATAAGAAAGTAGTAGGATGATGTGCAGTGAGACACAAAAAATCTGGAGGCCAAGAGCAGGGTGGACTCCTGTTTTCATAGCCCTTCAGAGCTCCCCCAGTCTGCCAGCACTGCTAACATTAGCATGTAATGCACTGCTTTGCCCTTGGGAGGTAGAAGCTGTACGTTAGAATGGTCTTCTGCCAGGGCACTGCCCAGGCTCATCAGGGAACGTACATCTAAAATGGTAGCATGGCCTAAAGCCACAATGTCACTTAGTTCTTGTTTCAAGTGCCTGGGCACCCCTGCCTCAATCATAGTTTGAATGCTGGATCTTTACTCCCCTCTGTTTTAGGAGAAGCTAATGCCTGACCCATTCCTAGGAACTGTAGAGCTTTAGGGAGCTTGACTGAAGACGTCTTTGGGAAATGTGACTTGCAGTATTAGAAATTTCTACCCTAACTGGTCAAGTAAATACTGATAGTTGAATTTTTCAATGTCTATCTTTTAATTTCTGGTGTGAGCATTATAAACACTCCTATCACATAAAACAGGCTCATTTGACATAAAACTGCAGCAGCAGACCATTCCTGTGAGTTTCAGTGTACTAACAGGCAATCTGTGTTCTTTCAGCTAATCACCAGTGTGAGACCCATCAGTGGCAGTGTGCCAATAAACGATGTATCCCAGAAGCCTGGCAGTGTGATAGAGAAGATGACTGTGGTGATAACTCAGATGAAGATAGTACTCACTGTGCCAGTAGAACTTGTTCTCCAGGCCAATTTAAATGTGACAATGGCCGCTGCATCCCGCAGTCCTGGAAGTGTGATGTGGATGATGATTGTGGTGATAACTCTGATGAGCCATTCCATGAATGCAGTAAGTACATAGCTGTAGTAAGCATTTAGCTGTAGTAGGCAGCCCATGTTATAGTGCAGCAAAAGCAGAGCAGACTGCATTACTTAATTTTCTGGAAGTTGGAAACTTCTTGGAAAGGAATATTTTCTGCAAGCTCACTGCTATCATGTAGTAGAGAGTGCTAGAAAGACGCAGAGGTTATGTAATAATTCACCACTGTCTTATTCCTGAAGGCAAGGAGGCTTATAACCTGCTGGCCACGTTATCAAAAACTGGCACGATCGCACTCTGACCTCCTTGAGGCTTGCAGGGTCCTTTGCTTGGACCATAGAAACATTTGGTGAGAGAGGGTATAAGCCTGTGTGGAAGCAGTGAATGCCATTTCACCAATTTTTACCTTGTTCCGCTTTGATGCATGAGGTGTGTCATACTTTTTAGGAAAACAAAGTAAGTTTCATCTCTTGAAGCTGAAGTTTCTCGTAACAGTAGGCACGTGTTTTGGAAACAAAAGTTTACAAGGAGAACAAATGCAGATGTCTAGCCTTCACTTAGCAGTGGGACTTTGCTATCTGCTCCAACATGTCTCTTTGAGCTATTGGCCATTTGGAAGAACTTGGGGAAGTTGCGCTGTCTGAGCGCACGCTGCCTTCTCTGGCTTTCAGGTTTGGGGCTTCTATTGCCATAGTTACCGGCACGAAGTATTTCAGGGGAAAACACACTGAACATGGTTTGAACTAGTCATGAGTTTATAGCGTATGCAGAACACAAGCAGCAGAGGTAGGAAAGAACAGTAAAATCAGATACATTTAACACTTTCTCTTTTACAACAAAGTTATCAGATACCTCTTTTTAGTAGTAGTAGTTGACTGTGCAACAGAACAGATTTTTAAAGTCAGAATCGTATAGGAAGAAGGGCAGCTTTCTGGCTAAGTAATGCAACTTCCTTTGACAATTGCCTCTTGCATTTCAGTGGGCCCTGCCTATCGCTGTGACAACCACACAGAATTCAGCTGTAGAACCAACTACCGTTGCATAGCATTGTGGGCAGTGTGCAATGGGAATGATGACTGCAGGGACAACAGTGACGAGCAAGGCTGTGGTATGTCTAGAGAAGAAGGTCGTTTCAACATAACCTTGTGTCTAAAATATTTCTCCAAGATACAAACACCTGATTTTCTGAAAGTCTTCTCAGTAATAATGTACCTGGGCATATTTTGTTTGATATCAGTTAATTACATGGATAGTTATTTGTCTTCAGAAAAATTCTATGTGGAGCAATTAGTTGTGCAGCTTACGTGTTTATAAGCCCTGGAGATCAGTATTTTATTATTTTGCCTGGTACGTCATCAGATGAAACAGAAAATATTTCTACTGAAGCAAACTTTTGTTCTAGACAATTAAAACTGTCAGGGTTTACAGTTGCTCAACTTACCTCCTACACCGTTGAGGCTATCAATATAGGAAATATGACAATTTTTTCCCCAAAACCTTGCATTTGTTTTGAAACTCCTCATACACTTGCACACAGAGCTTAGAGGCCATCAGACGCTATATCAGAACCAGGGAGTAGCACTCTATGAAGACAACATGCCCTGTGATTTTTTTTTTTCTGCTTCTAGAATTATAAAAATGTATGTCTTTCTCTGAGACACCAAAAACATGCTGCTCTGCTCAGAAAAGAAATGTTTTTCTTTCTTTATTTGTAGGCTAATATAATCCACCCATTGGATTGATTAGTGTTAAGTTAGAGAGAAGGTAGGGGTCTATTAGAGCTCCCCTCAGTCTGGAATAATTGCATTGCAAGGAGCAATAATCGTTCTTTTACTCTGATAGCACAAGGTTTCTTTCTTTGTGTTTCTATCTCAGTTCTATGTAATTATTTCAGCTGTTTCTTTATCAGTCTTCTAATACTTGACCCAGTTTGTGTCATGAAAATCTCTGTTGACTCCCATTATCTTCTGTGCATTTCGTCTTATCCAAAGACTATGCTAATATGCGCTGATCTCATTTTTTGTTGGCAAACTGTGTGCACTGCAGAAGAGATGACTTGCAGTCCTTCTGGAGACTTCCGCTGTGATAATCATCGATGTATCCCACTGCGCTGGAAGTGTGATGGAGATGATGACTGTGGAGATGATTCTGATGAGCACAACTGCAGTGAGTTCTTTCTTGACTCTTATGATATAGTCCAGCTTTTGACTTAACTAGCCTCCTATTTCTTACGAAAAAGGGCAGATAGCTCTCAACTGCAGCCATTTTGTTGTTTCATGTTGTAGCCTGTATTTTCATAGTTGAACTCTCACCGTGCTGTCTCAAGGAAGCGTTCTGCATTTATAAAAACACTAATAAATTCAGTCATCATAATAATGCGCACAGCCTGTTTTCTGCTAGGAAGTACCATCTGAATTCTGCCCTGTGTGCAAATGTAGGAATATAAGGTTCTTTAAGCAAAGAGCATGGATTCTTTTCTGTATAATTTTGTGATGGAAAAAACATCTGCAATGGAGTGCTCTCTTCTTTGTCAAGAGGGACAACCTAAAATGTTTAACATAATGCAGGGATGCTATTCTAACATCATTTAGATATTTTTATGATTTTATCACAATATCTGCCAGTATTACATGAGGCATGTTAATGAGGATGCTTAAATCTTTAGCTGAGTAACTTGAAGTTTATACTTCCATTTTAAATGAAGGTCCTCGGGAATGTACAGAAAGTGAATACCGTTGTGACAATTTGCGTTGCATTCCGTCCCGGTGGATATGTGATCACGACGATGACTGTGAAGACAATTCAGATGAACGTGACTGTGGTGCGTATGGTCTTTGGATGCCACATCATCACTTGTACACATTTTTGCTTGTAGTGTGATAAATTATTCTTATGGAACTTCTCTAGCACAGTTTTAATAGTCTGGGATTTTGCAGTCTTTAAGGAATTTATTATTCTTGAAAAATAGACACTTCAGCTTGATTTGAATGAGAAGACATTTCAACAATTACTTCTGAATCTTTCCAGAGCTGAGGACCTGTCACCCAGGTTATTTCCAGTGTGAGAGTGGACACTGCATTGCAGAGCGCTTCAGATGCGACGGAAATGCAGACTGCCTTGACTTCTCTGATGAAGCAACTTGTCGTGAGTTTCAAGCTTTGCAATTGGAGCTCATTGAGCTCACTTTCAGAAGGACTTCTGCTTTTTTTTTTTCCTGTTTAAGTGACATGACTCCTCAGAGGTACTCAGCCCTGCAACTCTCAAAGATGTCAGTAAAATTCAGGAAAAGTGTAATACTTTGAATCAGCCTTTTCATACATGGGTTGCCATCTCTTACATTAATTGTAAATGCATTGATAATTCTAGGAGATTAATGCGTTTGCAAGGATGGTCCAGCAGAAGATACACATGTGGCTGAATTAAAATTCTTAGCTATCCTATGCACTTTCCAAGATCCGCTGTTTCCATTCATTCTATGCTGTAACAAGGTTCTGTAACGGGATTGTTTTTTGTAATGGCCAAAGGGGTGTATAGAGTTTCCTAAGATACTAGTGAAGCCAATGAAACTAAATGCTTTTATGTTTGACTGTTACCTCTCTATATTGATTTACTGTGAAGAAACATCTAGAAATTGTAGCTTGCACCCACGGCTACTGTCTACCCATGAAGTATCATTCCCGTGGGGAATGAAGATATCACCTTAGTGCTCTTACCTGTGCTGGCTGTTGTTGGCCTCTGAGGAGCTATTACAGCGCTGATTCTCGCTTATATGTCCAAATGATTTGGACTTCCGTACCAGGGAGAATTCCTTTCTCTTCCTCTTGGTATCAGGGCTGTTCTATGCCTCTTCCCATGCACTTGATCGTAACACCTGTGGCTTAAGTGAGGAGGGGCATCTGCACAACAGGACCTTTATTTTAGTAATGGTAACTATATCCTGAAATGTACATCGTAATGATTAATCTACCAGAATCTGAGTTACATAACATCTGACTTTCCTTAAAGGGAGGGAAAAGCAGATGAGCTGTTGAAAGGGCAAGGATGTGGTGTGTTTATGTGTATTGGCAGAGTCGTATTTGTGGTTTCTCTTTGATCTAGTTCATTTTTTCCCACAGCTTTTACAGAATCTGGGTAGATTTTCTACTATACCGGCATAAGTCCATTTGTGATTAGATGCCTTAGGTACTTCTTTGGTCATTCAGGTTTGATGCTAGTCATGTTATTTATCTCAATTACTGAAATGTGTTGTCAGTAGCAACTATAAACAGTGTTTGTAAAATTCATAAATTTATTTCCCAAAGCCTCTGGGGAGTAACTTCTGTTACTTCCTTATTCATTTGAACCTGAATTAATTATGTTACAGTTACCAAGAAGTTCTCAGGCCTTGTAATCTGTTGTCACTGTAAATCCTTGTAGTGCCTCATATTCCATTTCCTACTAAGGAGAAGAGGCTAGCAAAGAAAAAATAATAATAGCATAGAATATTTTTCAGAAAAAGTTAGAATTTCCATTTTAAATGAAAATTTCATAATAAATTTCTCTTCTTCAGCAACACGATATCCTAATGGCACATATTGTCCACCCATGCTGTTTGAATGTAAAAACCATGTGTGTATCCAGCCATACTGGAAATGTGATGGTGATAATGACTGTGGAGATAACTCTGATGAAGAACTTCACCTTTGCTGTAAGAGGGAAAAATTACATTAAAATGAACAATATTGCTCACATGCCTAATAAAATCTTTACTTACAATAGAAAGAACAAATAGTAAATTTTAAATATTTTGTTTTCTCTGGAGTTTCTCACTAACTTAATTCAGGATGAGTGCTGAGAATTTTACTTCATATACTTTTACATTTGCTTCATTTTAATACTATATGTTTTCCATTGCTTTGCAGGTATTTGTATATGTAGTTATCAAAGTAGGGAGAAACCCAGTAAAGACACAGGGACGCTAGTCGATATTTTCAAGCTGGGTGTCTAAAATAAGACCATTGGTTTACAATTCAAGAGATAATTCAGATAACTTTTTTATTTATTTATTTATTTTAAAGGTGGTGAGCTTTTAAAGTTCTCAGCAGAGTCAGGATATTTTTATAAACATGGATGAGCAGTCCTGACTTTAGCTTTAAAAATACGAGATGTTAGAAGTATTAATTAAATCATTTTTGTAAGTTAGACACTAAATAGCAGCTTAATTAGCATGTTGGATTTTCCATCAGTTTACTTTATAAACACACCTAGAAACCTCAATGTTATATGCAATCACGTGATATACCTTTGGCCACAGATAATATGTTGTTTTCCAACGAATAAGTAATGACCTGACATACAATTGCAGGTTTTATGCCACATTTAAAGAAATATGAAGATAATTTGCTTCCTATGGGCCTGAATGCTTCCACAGTACCTTTTAAAATGTAGGAAAAACATCAACGGTACCAGACAAAAGTGATTGGGATAATTTGTGGCTTAATGGCATTAAGTGTCAAAGTATGACTGACTTGATTTTTGTGGTTTCAGTGGATGTTGCTTGTGAACCTCCATTCCGTTTCCGGTGCGAAAACAATCGCTGCATATACAGTCATGAGCTGTGCAACCAGGAAGATGACTGTGGAGATGGAAGTGATGAGAAAGAGGAACACTGTATGTATATATGAAATTGAGCAGCAAATTCAGTAATCCTGATGTGTTTCATGTTTGATAATACCAAAGTACTGCAGAAACGTCAAAGTTAAACGTAAATGGATGAAAATTAGAGCTCAGCATGAAATAATCTGAACCGTGATTATTGGTACTATGTATTTGCAGCTCTCGGTATAAACAGCAAAAATCAGCAATCATTTGCCTGAAAAGTACAAAGCATGATTTTCAAACAGGAATTGTATTTTATTACAAACACTGTTTAAATTGTGTCTGCTTATTATGAACTCTACTTAAAATGATGAAGAAACAAGAGTTTGGCTGTATCATGAAATAAGGATGGGGTGGATAACTGGGACTTTTTAAACAGAGAAATGTCTGTTTCTGAATTCTTGTCACTGTTATGTTATGTGATAAACAACATTGCCATTTTTTAAGCTCAAATCCTGCAGAAGCTCTGTTAATATTCTATAGAGTTCTGCCCTCAGCTACCTTATGAAGTTCTCACTGACTGTGTGGATTTTTGTATTAAAAATTGTAATTATATTTTTGATTGCTTACTGATATTATTTGCTGACTTTATTGCACAGTATTTTTAAATTTAATGGATTGCTAACAGCTCTTGAGTAATCCACTGAAAGCTTGAGTAAATGTATGAAATATAGAGTTAAAGGATGTTACTTGGTTAACACTATTAAAAAGAAAGTTAAATCCACTATTAAGCAATACTTATCAAGAAGAATATACCTTCCGGCCTTATAAAAAGGAGGGACTGGTCTTTTAGTTCATGGGATATGGCTGGAAGTCAGGAGGCCCAGGTTATGCTGATACTTTTACTACAGACTTTCTGAATCACTGTTGTCATCGTTTTAGTGGTTTGCATCCACTTCCTCATCTGCAACGTGCTGAAGCGTTACCTGTTGGTACTGCGTAGCCAAAGCTGTGATAAAGAAGTGTTTCTCTTTCAACTGTAGGTAGAGAGCCAACCCCGAGACCTTGTACAACTGATGAATTCAAGTGCAGTAATGGAAATTGCATTTCTCTACATTATGTGTGTGACAATTATGATGACTGTGGAGACCATTATGATGAAATGGGCTGCAGTAAGTAGTAATATCAATAGAATAGAATATCACAATACAACTGAAATAAGAATTTCCGAAACTGAAAATGGTATACCTGCGTGCTTTTGAATGGAACACTAAGAAATATTAATTTTCAGTTAATCTGTGCTAGAATTATCCCATAATCCATGAACTGTATCTTTTCTCTTTCTTCTTCAGGGAAAACTCTAAGAAATTCATTTTTAGGCTCAGAGTATTTATGCATCACAAAAATGAGTTTGACTTTGTTTTGAAATGGTTTACGTTATGGGTGCTAGAAAGCCCAGATATTTAAATTATAATTGCAGTGGACCAAACTACAGAATTATTCTGGGACAGGCTCTGCCCCTGTATAGGTTGCTCTAGCCCTATTGAAACCAACAGTATATTTGGATGCTTTCTTGTCCTGTGTGCAAACATGACCACAGAGTTCTGTAAGGACACCCAGTACTCAGAGAGAGGGCCATCTCAGTTCCTCTGTACATTCTCAGCTTTTATTAAGTATGCGTCATAAATTTGCCAGCAGCTATTCAGGTGCAAAAACTTTGACTTGAACTTTATTTGAGAGAAGAGAGAGAATATAGTGACAGATCTCCGGAGGGGGGGAAAAAAAAACCTAACACTTTTTATATCGATATATAGACAGCTGCAGAGTGATAATGCAAGCATGTACTTGCAATTTCAGTTCTTCAGGCTTTGATGGCTTCAAGGGAAAGTATGCCAAATGATGCACTAGTGATTTAGAGTCCAGCATGCTTGCAAAACACAAATAACTTAGCTTATAGTGCAGTCTGTTTTGAAGCATCTGGTTTCTCAGTTTCACATACTATCCCAGCGGTCCTTAGGTATTAGAACATAGTGAAATGACTTATGACTTAATGAAAATATGAAATTTAAAAAAGGATATGACACAGTGCAAATCAAAGACACCTTCTGGCAGTCAGTCTTCTATTTGTGGATAGATGCGAACACAGGTCACATAATAACATTCAAGTCCTTTCCGATATCAAATACCTGGATTGTGAGGAAAAGAGAAACCCTATGTCTGTGTGTGTACAATGAATTTATGCTTCTACATGTGTGTAAAATTGAGATGTTTAAACTTAATTTAACTAGCACTGGCATGTAGGTGCATGGAGGAGATAATCAGCCTAATGTAAAAGTTTTGCCATACATTCGTGTCTTTTTTCATGCTCTGTCAACAAACATACATTTTTAATCTTTTCTAGCTACGTACAGGAGATATGAGTTTCAAAGTACCCTATGTATGAATAGAATATATCAGAATTAGTATAATCCTGTATGTACTTTGAGAATAGTATAATTTTTATTATCTATGACATATGGTGGATTATCCCTGACTTGCCTTTTCTGTTATAAGCATGTTTTAAAGGGCAATGAATTCTGTACAATGACTTTTATTGACTTCAGTAGGCTTTAGTTTAGGTGCTGCATGGACAAGCTGTCATCTTTAATTTACAGATATAAATAATGTAAGGTCTGTATTATATATCATAGTAGTTGCGAGTGTTTTCTGCTTAGGTGATAAGAAAGGACTAGTAGTTTGAGAAAGAGGTAGATTGGCAAGGGTAGGAATGAGACAGAGGCCTTCTCAAATCTCTTAAAATAGTTGTTGCAATTGCTTCATATTGGTGATAATGTTGAATGCCGTTCCTCTTGAGGAGGGTGAGCCTGAATGTTTATGGCTCTTATCCTGACCACGCTCACTTCTGCAGATGAAACCAGTCTTAGCTGAGAGCTCCCTTGACCAGCACTTAGCACCCTCTTTTAGTTAGTTATGCCTTAGATAAAGAAAAGCCGTTCACATTAGTTGAAAGTCTCACTTAGAAGAAAAGGAAACTAACTTTATCCTTGAAAGTGATTTTCAAATAGACAATACGAGCAAAGTTATGTCCCCCCTACGATTTCATTTTTTGGTTATAATTGTCTAATTTACATTTTTTTCAGATCCTGGAACAGAACGAACTTGTGCAGAAAATATTTGCGAACAGAACTGTACCAACTTGAATGAAGGAGGCTTTATCTGTTCCTGTAGGCCAGGGTACAAAGCCAATGAACTTAACCGAAACTCCTGTGATGGTATTTTCAATCTTCTAAACGTCTTCTCACTGTTAAACGTTCAGTGACCTGTCACTTCATCATTTTAATCTAACTACTCGTTCTTGCATTAAAACAGGATTTTTATACATTCACCAGATGTTTTCTGATGTGTTTTGCTTCTGGATAATGTTTTCTAACATGTAGGCCTCATTCACCAAAGAACTGGCTCCCAAGTTCAGAGTTGTTTTAGGCTTTTGATGGCTATCTGTAGACATTGTTGCTCTCCTACATATGTTTAGTCATGTCTTTGCAGCCTGGAGGATAGAAATTTGCTTTTTTGTTTTCTAATTGAAAGGAAACTTACTGAAGTTTATACTCTTGTTTCGTTCTATTTCAGAACAGCTCTTCAATAAAGGTTTGTTTTGCCATGTTTTAACCTTGAGTATGTGCGGGTAAAATATGGTGAGGAGTTTATCCGAAGGTCAGGGTTGGTAGTAATGCAGTACAGTATCTTCACAGGTGCCATTTCAGTATATTTCAATGAGAGCGCTTCCCACTTCTGGGAACAGGTCTGTTGCTCCCAGCTCTTGTGGACAGTTTGTGTAGTTTTATTAACCACATTTCAATTCTTTGTTTCTGAGAGAATAGGTACTTTTGCTTCAACGTTTTAAGATGAGTTTTCTCTTGCATCTCTTTGTACTCATACATCTTTTATCTTTCCTTGTTGATTTAACCCAAAAACGCATGATGGAAAATATGTCTCTGAAAAGCAATCTAATAAACAGGAGCTATGCAGTTAATAGCAATCTGTAGTTAAGACTTATGTTAAACAATAGATGAGTGATGAGGAGTTCTGTTACAAAAGTGATGCTGACGTTTAAAAAGTCTAGATTTAGATAATAATAACAATCTAGTCTAATTTACTAGATTATTGATCCTTTAATTATGTTAGGAAGAGAGAAGCCTACTACTTCATGGAGCAAAGGTGACTAGCATGTGGAAGATTAAACTCTAAGTATCTTTTCTCCATTTATGCATAGATATCAATGAATGTGAGATCTTTGGAACATGCACCCAGGACTGCCAGAATTCCAAAGGAAGCTACGAATGTTTCTGTGCAGATGGCTTCAGGTCTGTGGGTGATCAACAAGGGAAACAGTGTGCAGCCAACGGTATGTTAACTTGACAGCAAGGTTGATTGGTGCCTGTAAAGAGCAAGTAGAGTATAGCAACTTAATGAATGTAATCCCCTTTTTTTAACAAGGGAATAATGGGGAAAGAAGTCTTTATTCTTTGGCATAAGATTATCTTTGTATTCTGCCTATTCCACAATCAGGAATAGAAGAGCTCCATTTCTGCTCCCAATTGCAGGCCTTAAAAATAATACCTTGAAAGTGGTTTGGGTGCCTGCCTTCCTCTCCCCTGAAATTTTCTGCAGACAAAAGACTGCTTATCCTGTAGTTGTCAGCAGAAGGAAATTAGTAGTGCCTGTTAGCGCCTGTTCCTGAGGTTTTAGATTTTGTCTCCAAAGTAATGCATCTGAAGAAACTTGCATTAAACTGGTACAAATCAAAGGCACTTTGATGACAGATTGCCATTCATTGTTCAAGGAATGAGGTACACAAGCGGAAGGACTTTGGCCCATGCTTAGCTTCAATCGTTAGCTTTTCATCATATTCAGTGCAGTGACTGCCGTATGTGACAGTCACTGAATAGATAAGAGAATTGGTTCAGAAAATAGTACTAATAAAGAGCTGAAGAAAATAGGAAAAAAGTAATGATGCAGCAGTATTATATAAAGATTGACACAGTATTGTTTGTAGAAAAGTACTTGCACTTTAACAGTTTTAAGAGATTCATGATAGCAACGTAGTGTATCTAGTCAAGTAGTAGAATCATCAGAATAGAGTGCCTGTGACCAAAACTGCCTCCTGCAGAAGTTTTAAAAACTAAAAAATGTTTGGAAGTTGAGAAATGTTACAAGAAAACCAGGTCTCTGGATTTCTGGTCGAGAGGCCTAATTCAGCAAATATACAGTGCTGAGCATGAGATTAAAAGTGCGAAAGCACATTTGCACCAAAGTTCTGCCTGGCTGACTCTTTATGTGCCCTTGTCAGAAATCTAGTTCCTTAAAACCCCTCTGTATAGGCTTAATTCTGGAAACGCCTAAACGCCTACAGTGTTTGAGGTTAAGTGGTAGAAGACAACATGATTGTAGCTGATAGTATCATGAAATTCCTTGTGTCTGGAGCCCTGTGTATGCCTAGAACTGTGTCACTCTTCATTGTACACGCTTACAGCACTCATAAATGAGGGCTCCCTTTACCTATTTCTGCTGCAGGCCTGACCTGTAGGTGTTTTCAGAACACACATGGGATTTCAGGTCCCATAAAACATGGTGTGGAGAAGAGGTATGCACCTTTTTTCCCCATAGCCAGTACCTTGTGACTCATACTAGAAGAAATGTCTGGGTTCAGTTCTTTTCTGTATAGGTATGTAATTAATAGCCCATCCCCCAGGAGAGTCTCCTAACAACCAGCATCTATACTGTTGTTCTGGGAACGTTGCCAATTTCTACGTTGAAGTGTATGTTTGGTAGAGAAGAGTCGCTTGTGTTGTCCAGTAGTTGTCCATGGCTTTGTGGGAAGGGGGTCTGTGTTCAAGCCAATACTTCATAGGAAATTAAGGATTATTAGCTAGAAAAGGAACTGGTAAACGAGATTTTCCTTTCCCAAGTGAGCGCCTTAATCACTGGGTCATTTCTTATTGGCTCTGTGAATGTGTGATTAATGTAGGAGGACTTTTTTCCTGGAGGAAAGCCCTAGGATCCAAGTCCTTGACTCTCAGCTGGACTCTATCCTTTACAAAAGGGCTATAGAATTAAATTTTTTCATCAGCACAGTAAGCCAGGTGGGACTGAGACTCTCTATAGTTAGGTTATTAGAGCACTGAAGCTAACTCAAACTTAATCTGTGGCCAGATGGGAGAACCTCCATCTGAATATGGAGACATGTGGATTTATAGCCTTTCAGGTAAAAGAGCTGAGAGAGCTCCCAGCTCAAGTAACTGGCAAATTATTCATTGTTGCCAAAGTTGCTTTCCATATTGTGTTCCCCAAAGCGGAGAGCAACTTTGGCTGAGCTGCATAATATATAGCTGCTTTCTATTTTCAAATTGTGAGGTACCAAGTTGCCAACATTATGATATGAATTATTCCTTAGAGATTACTACTGTGCATAATCCATGGCGAGGAAGATAATGCTATGCTCAGTGTTGAGCGTTTCCAGAGTTTTTCATTAATTTTGCAAATCCACGAAGTTCTCAT